AAATCATAATTAATCAGATCAGATGAGATCAGATTCAATCTTATCAGATCAGATCCAATTAGATCAGACTAGATCAGATTCAATCAAATCAGATCATATTCGATCCAACCAGATCAAATAAGATTGTGCACACGTATTAAAAGCGGTGGCACCAATCCGGGAGATGATGAGGCGGGAGTGTTGGCAAAAAGATGCAGGGACCGTTTTAATAATTTAAAGTATATTGGTTGTTGAGCCCATTCTTATACATCTGTTGAATTATATTTAGCTTCTGTAATGTTAAATTAATTTACTTCGAAAACTATTTACTATTTTAGGAGAAAAGAATATTTTCAAATGTTTTTTCTTTTTCAAACTACTATTTATATTATTTTCAATCTCTAGTATGTTTACCAAATTGTTAGCGCTTCGGTCCGTTAACCCGAGTGTACCGAGTTACGCAGATTGTGGTGTTACAATGCCTTTATTTTATTTCTTTATTGGCCTTTCATTTCTTCGAAGAGAAATTATTCAATTTTCTCTTTGTGTATTTAAACAATAACTAAATAACTAAATTTGCATGTTAATGTATTTGACAAATATCCAGGTTCGTTTAATTAATTTTCTCTTTTCATGTTTTCACTATAAGTATGCCATAAAGTGATACACTCTCTCGATCATCATATATATCTTACAATTACTGCTCCCTTAATTTCCAGATACCAAAGGAAATGGAAACATTATCTCCTAAGTTGTTTTTCTTCATTGTCCTCTTACTTTATTCCTAATGGTTTGTTACTTTCTTTTCCTTTGTTTTGCAGAACAAACATTAGTTTTGTGAACTTATTGATCTGTAGGCATTGTAAGGGTGGTGCCATAGTTTTTGTAAAAAGACACTTTGGATCTCGTAAATATCAAAATTTTGAATACTATAAATAGATAGAATCTAGGACAGATTTTATAGTTTTATTATTTGTTCAATCATAATAGTAAGTAATTATTTGAGTACAATTTGCAGGCTCTCGAACTGCCGTTGAAATAGTAGAAGCACAACCACAATGCAAGGTGAATGAGGATTGCAAACCCTACAGTGACTCCCAGCATATCCCTATTCCGATTTGTTTTGGTGGAAGTTTCCGATGCATTGATTTTTCGATACCACCCCAACAATCCTAAGCAAGATATATCAATTGATAATGCTAATATAAAATCATTATACATAGAGATGATACCTAAATGTTCACTAGATCAATGTTTAAAATTAATATGCAAACGTGGATTACGTAATAAAACAATAATATTAAATGTAATTAAAAAATCAAATTTTTTACACTCAATACTTGAAGTCTCTCTAAAACATTCAAGGTCGTGATCTTATTAAAGATTCAAGCCACTAAAATGAGTTCCTGCATTTTAATACAACTACAATCATATCAGATAGACACGATCAAATCAAATCTTAGTAAGATTAAACCATATCCAATTAGATGAGATGAATATAACATCCTCGTATGTCACAAAAATATTACTCCCTCTATTCACATTTAGTCTTCCTATTTGAATTTTCTTGGTCAAAGTTTGTAAACTTTAACCTTGATTTGTGGAAGGAATATATTATGTTTTGATATAAAATTAATATCAATAGTTCCCTTTTGAAACGTATTTTATAATTATTAACTTTTCATGAAATATGTCTATGTATAGATAGAAAATAATGGTTGAAGTGTTACGTTTAAGACCGTAAAAAGTCAAATGAGAAGATTAAATTCGAGTAGAGGGTGTTTTGAATATGGTACAACACAATATTTTTCCTTTCTTATGTATTATTTGCCTCTAAAATTTCCCAGTGAACAAGTAAAGGTGTTCTTGAATATCCACATCAGGTGATAGATCTTTATCTCTATCATCTTCTGTGTGCGAAAGCAGAAGAGTACATTTACCCAGACCGGGAAAGGCCATGGAACAGATTGTGAACCTTAAGAAAAGGGCACTCGGACCATGATTCAGATAAGGGAAGTCATATCAAGTCTGCCTCTATGGAGAACGACTCAGTACGGCATATGGATAAAATATAAATGGTTGAAAATAAGAGATGTCACTATTATTGTATAGTGATGGGTTACCTTAAGGATGTTGAATTACTCTTTCATATGAATTAATCTGTATTAAGGATACCCTCTTGATGAACAGATGAAACGATAATGTTTATCAGATCTATAAATAAAAGATATTTGAAAATGTTAACCTTTGCTTTTAGTAAGTGCTTTCGGAATTCATAGTTAAATGTTAACCTTTACAAAGAGATGTTTTTACACCTTATCATAAATGGCGAATGTTGGAATTCATAGTTAAATGTTTTATAACAAAGATAAAGAAGATTTTCTTAAATAAAAGGACCTTAGGGTTGTGATTCTCGTTGTGAATGTGATTGTGTGTTCTTCAATACGTTGTGGTTTCACTCAGCGGTTGTGCATAGGTATTAAAAGCTGTGGTGCCAATCCGGAAGATGCTTAGGCAAGAGTGTTGGCAGAAAGATGCAGGGACCGTTTTAATAATTTAAAGTATATTGTGAGTTGAGCCCATTCTTGTACATCTGTTGAATTATATTTAGCTTCCCCAATGTTAAATTAATTTACTTCGAAAACTATTTACCATTTTACGAGAAAAGAATATTTTTAAATGTTTTTTCTTTCTCAAACTACTATTTATATTATTTTTAATCTCCACAATGTTTACCAAATTGTTCGTGCTTCAGTTCGTTAACCCGAGTGTACCGAGTTACGCAGATTGTGGTGTTACAATGCCTTTATTTTATTTCTTTATTGGCCTTTCATTTCTTTGAAGAGAAATTATTCAATTTTATTTTTGTGTATTTAAACAATAACTAAATTTGCATGTTAATGTATTTGACAAATATCCAGGTTCGTTTAATTAATTTTCTCTTTTCATGTTTTCACTATAAGTATGCCATAAAATGATACACTCTCTCGATCATCATATATATCTTACAATTACTGCTCCCTTAATTTCCAGATACCAAAGGAAATGGAAACATTATCTCCTAAGTTGTTTTTCTTCATTGTCCTCTTACTTATTCCTAATGGTTTGTTACTTTCTTTTCTTTTGTTTTGCACAACAAACATTTGTTTTGTGAACTTATTGATGTGTATGCATTGTAAGGGTGTGCCATAATTTTTGTAAAAAGACACTTTGTATCTCGTAAATATCAAAATTTTGAATACTATAAATAGATAGAATCTAGGACAGATTTTAAAATATAAATATAAATGGTTGAAAATAAGAGATGTCACTATTATTGTATAGTGATGGGTTACCTTAAGGATGTTGAATTACTCTTTGATATGAATTAATCTCTATTAAAGATACCCTCTTGATGAACAGATGAAACGATAATGTTTATCAGATCTATAAATATAAGATATTTGAAAATGTTAACCTTTGCTTTTAGTAAGTGCTTTCGGATACGTATGATTATACAAAGAGATGTTTTTACACCTTATCATAAATGGCGAATGTTGGAATTCATAGTTAAATGTTTTATAACGAAGATAAAGAGGATTTTATTAAATAAAAGGACCTAAGGGTTGTGATTTTTGTTGTGAATGTGATTGTGTGTTCTTCAATAATTTTATTAAATCTACGTTGTGGTTTCACTCAGCGGTTGTGCATAGGTATTAAAAGCTGTGGCACCAATCCAGAAGATGCTGAGGTAGGAATGTTGGCAGAAAGATGCAGGGACCGTTTTAATAATTTAAAGTATATTGGGAGTTGAGCCCATTCTTGAAATTCCAATACTCACAAGAAACTAATCGCAACAGCAAACAGAAGCAAGCAAATAAAACTATTGGAATAAGTGTAGCAGCTCTAGAAACACAGGATGCTACAACACTTTTTCCAACAGTCACAAACACAGGCAGAAAATCAAACACACCAAGACACAGAAATTTGTTTACGCAGTTCAGAGTAGTATCTCCTACGTCTGCGAGGCCCACATCCGTGTAATAGCCTTTCCACTAGATCAACGTAAGAATTACACTATCAAACTTCAATAGAACCTTCTAATGAATCTGATTTGTCTACTTACGAGATCTGATAGCAAACTCAGTTTGTGTCTTCACCAGGCCTATTACACCTTCTTCTTGCTCTGCACGAAGGATGCGTTTCTGACCCTTGCTCAGCCCACCAGGTTGCAACAGCTGAACAATATCTAGAGAAGATCCATGACTGATCTTCTCATGCAATTCTCTCACAGGTTTGTTTTGATCAGAATGGTGGTGATCTCACGCTCTCTCCTTTGATATTCTTAGTATATTTCTGCGTACTTCTTTTCTCTACGGCTGACTCTCTTTATAGGGTGTGTCCATAACCCTAGTAGAGATGATATGGAACTCTTACGGTGATAAGCTTGAGTACCAGACATACCTAGTACGCCATGACTTCTTCCCGTAAATACATCTTATGTCAAGCATGCGCTTAGGAGATAATTAATGCATCTGATGTTGCCTGGACACCTCATGAACTCTTTTTGGGATATAAGTCTTCATATAGTCAGAGTCCATATCATATAGAGACTCTTTATCATGACTGATAGGATGCTACAGCTCTTATCTAACACAGACACACTACCATTTTCTACAGAAGGGTTTTGTCAAAAAATAATGCCAACATGAACCACTATCATCATTAACTAGTCGGAGCTAACAATCTCCCCCTTTGGCAATTTTTTGACAAAAACCACTATTCATCCGTTTTTGAACCTCTTCTTCTCCCCCTTTTTTGCATAAAAAATGCCAAAGATATTTTATTGAAAGTTACCAAAGTGGGGGGCAAGAAGAAGTATATTCAATACGGTCAAGAATAGGTACATTAAGAGTATAAGAAAGAAGACTCTAAAGAGCTGTACCTACATCATCCCAGAGAGAGCCAAGTACCCATGAGAGAGGGTAGGCTCGTGTGCTGTCGTTGCTTCACAATGCATGCAGGTAAAACCAGAATCAAAAGAGGTTACAACCAGAACTTCATAGTGAACATAGAGAATAAAACCATCTCTCCACAGGGCACAGATAAGTTCAACAAAAACCATGCAATGTCTTCAGCATCATAAAACAATAGGGCAGAACAACCCTTCCACACACAAAAAATGTTTTAGAGCAACAGTTTGATCAATAAGGCAGTGTTTACTCCTCTGAACTGTCACCTCCTGATGATTTTTGGGAGGCCCCTGCTGATTCTGATGATGATATCTCTTCTGCACTGTCTTCTGGATCATCTTCATCTGTGCTTGAGTGTGCCGCAACTGCCTTTTGCTTAGCCAGTCTCTCCCCCTTACTCTGTGCACTCTTCGTTTGCCTCAGGTTATTTGCAATCTGGATAAGCACATTCATCCTTTCAGTTGATCTTTGGGCAATTTCATGATGATAATCCGCATCCATTTGAAGGGATTTGATCTCTTTTTCAAGGAAGCTGAGCTGATAATCTATTGAGGCTGGATTTGGTGTTTCTGCTGAGGATGTTCCAGCGGCAGCCATGTCATTGTAGTGGCTTCCTTCAAGATGTCTCGCATCCACTTGCAGCAGAGGAGGAATGATCTCTTCTTCTTCATCTTCTTTCTTCTCAAAGCCTTGATCCTTCAGTATGTTATAGATCAACAGTGGGTATGGAAGACCATTCTTGTTCTTCTTGTATTTTTCTGCTGCAAACGCCATCACCTGATCAAATACAACCCTACTAAGATCAAAAGGAACTTTGTTTTTGATTCTGTAGATTAGGTTAGCTATGCACAATGGAACAGTGTTGGTGTGAGTAGTGGGCATCCAGTGGAATGCAGCAATTCTTAGAAGGAGAGCATATGAACTTTTCAGCACTGAAGAATGTACTTTGGACTTTCCATGTTGGTAGTCCTTAAGTCCATTGGTGAGATCACTCCACACAGTTTCCTCATCAATAGGAGTGATTACTGGATTTTGGTCAGTACCAAGAAAAGAGTTTATGACTGAGGGAGAAAAATCATAGAACTTTCCACGAACAAAGACTTTCTGGTATGAGGGATCATCTTCAGTAACACATGACTCAGTTAAATTGCAATAGAATTCTTGAATAACTTTCTTCACATATGAACCAGGGAGAGTGACAGATTTTAGCAATTTGTTTGATTTCAGTGTGGGCAGAAGGTTTGTTTTCTTGCTAAAGTCAGACACATCAAGATTCCTTTGAGGGATAATTGATTTTTTCACAACATCAAGAAAAAGGGATTTTGCAATACTAGAGGGAAAGAGTTTAACAGATTGCTTCCCTGGAGTGCTGCTTGATGGTGAATTCTTTGAACTTCTGGTCTCCCGTCTGGATGAAGATGGAGCATCTGGTGTGGATTTTGTTTTCTTTACTGGAGGTTTTTGTGAAGGACAAACCTCACTTTCTTTTCTCTTCTTGGGCTCAAATTGAGGCTTCATCGTCTTTTCCTTTTTCTCTAACTCTTTAACTTCTGTTTTCTCCTTTTGTGAATTCTCTGTGTGTTGAAGAGATCTGGTCCGTCTCAGAGGCCAACGGGTAGGTCCAGTGTTGTTTCTCCTTTTTGTGTCTCCTTCCTTTGTGTTGGATGTAGAATCTTGAAAGGGGACTGCTGAGCATGCAACAATCGGTTCTTCTTCTTCAAGAATCTCTCCTAGAACTTCCTCTTCACAGATTCCCCCCTTTGAGTTAGGGTTTTTTGTGGATTCTTCTGTATTGATTGGAGTGTATTCCAATCGCAACACTTCAGATGGTTGCAAAATTGGAAGATGCAGTCCATCATCATCTGAGAGAAGTGAGTGTGCTAAGGATTTTCCAGTTGTCGCAGTGGTAGATGAAGATTCACCCCTTAAGAATAGTTTTGTCCAGGAGGGTTTGTGGAACTTCTTCTTTTTCACTCTTGCCTTTCCAGTCCATCTTTGGGGTAGCGCCATCTTGATGCGCACCATGATTGCTATAGAGATCTTCTTGTTTCTTCTTGAATTTCTTGGTTGGTTTTGGCTGTGGATTCAGGTGTGAATTTTTTGGAAATTTCTCTACCCGAATGCCTTCTTTGATTACACTTTGGCTTTGGGGCAATTTGACGCTTCGGTTTCTGCGTCCGGCTGAGATTGCTTACGGATCACTGTGCGCATGCATGCCTTTCCTTTTTGCTTCTTGTCAGATACTCCTTTCATGTTGCCATGTGTCATTATTTCAGCGGATTAGTGACACTTTGAACACATTAGCTGACAATTTGTGTTCAAGGTGGTTTTTGTGACACATTAATAAGGTGCACACAGACCCAATTTGGATCTGAGTGATTCAAATCTGCTTCCATCTAATGCCTTTGTAAAAATATCAGCCAATTGCTCCTCTGTATCGACATGCTCCAGACTGATAATTTTTCCTTCAACTAATTCTCGTATAAAATGATGTTTGATGTCGATGTGCTTTGTTCGAGAATGTAGCACAGGATTTTTTGACATGCTGATTGCACTAGTGTTGTCACAGTATAGTGGTATTGTCTTCTGTTGGATTCCATAGTCTGATAATACTGACTTCATCCATAACAGCTGTGCACAACAACTCCCGGCTACTATATACTCAGCTTCTGCTGTAGATAGTGACACTGAGTTTTGTTTCTTACTTAGCCATGCAACCAAATTTCCTCCTAGAAAAGAAACAGCCCCCAGATGTGCTTTTTCGATCATCTATATTTCCTGCCCAGTCTGCATCACTAAATGCTGCTAATTGTGCTGGACCACCCTTCTCGTACCATAATCCCAAGTTTTGTGTACCTCTAACATATTTTAGTATTCTTTTGACAGCCTTGAGGTGTGACTCCTTTGGACTCGCTTGGTATCTGGCACATACTCCCACACTATAACAGATGTCTGGCCTGCTGGTAGTGAGATATAGCAGGCTTCCAATAATGCTTCTGTAATGAGTCTCGTTTACTAATTTTCCACAATCATCTCTGCTGATCTTTTCATGTGTGGGACAAGGTGTTCTAGCACTTTTACAGTCACTCATCTCAAATTTCTTCAGCATGTTCTGTATGTACTTAGATTGTGAGATAAAGATGCCTTCCTCTGTTTGCTTAACTTGCAATCCCAAGAAGAAGGTTAATTCTCCAATCATGCTCATCTCAAACTCCATCTCCATTGTTTTGACAAACTTGTCAACATGCTGCTTTGAGGTGGACCCAAAAATGATATCATCAACATAAATTTGAGCAATAAGTATATCTGATCCATACCTTTTATAGAACATGGTGCTGTCTGCTCCACCCCTTTTGTAACCTTCCTTGAGAAGATAAGTGGTCAGCCTCTCATACCATGCACGTGGAGCTTGTTTCAACCCGTAGAGTGCTTTCCTCAGTCTGTAAACATGATCTGGATGTTTTGAATCTTTGAACCCTTTTGGCTGTGAGACATATACTTCTTCTTTAAGATACCCATTTAGGAATGCAGTCTTCACATCCATCTGGTAGAGCTTCATGTCAAGAATGCATGCCATGCTGATCAACATACGAATGGATTCCAGTCTGGCAACCGGAGCAAATGTTTCATCAAAATCAATTCCCTCGACTTGTGTATAACCCTGGGCTACCAGCCTTGCTTTATTCCTGACTACCTTCCCATCTTCATCTGTTTTGTTTCGAAAAATCCATTTTGTCCCAATAATATTGACACCCTCTGGCTTTGGAACCAGCTCCCATACATTATTGCGTTCAAACTGTCCCAGCTCTTCTTGCATGGCATCTATCCATGGTTCTTCTTTAAGTGCTTCTTTTATGTTCTTTGGTTCAACTGACGAAGTGTAGAAGGCATTTATTATTTGAACAAAATCTATCTTCTTTTTCCGAGTCTGGATGCCTTCTCTTGGATTCCCTATGATGTTTTCTGGTGGATGATTTTTGTGCACATGTGTGGGTATCCCTGTTGATTCCTTTGGTGTTCCTTCTGACTCTTCTGATCCTGTAGTTTGATCATGGTTTATTTGTTCTTCAGACCCTGTCTCTTCCTGTTCTGAAACTATTTCAGTTTGTGTTTCAGCAGTTTCAACATCATCACTACTCCTTCTAGGTATTTGATCATCTACCACCACGTTTATTGATTCAATTATATTCCTGGTTCTTTTGAGCAATACTCTGTACGCCTTGCTATTTGGTGAGTAGCCGACAAATATTGCTTCTTCACTTTTAGCCTCAAACTTTCCTTTCTGTTGTCTGTCTCGTAGGACATAACATTTTGCTCCAAAAATATGGAAGTGTGCAAGATTCGGCGTTCTTCCTTTCCATAATTCATATGGTGTAGCCTTTGTGCCGCTCCTGATGTATACCCTATTTATTGTATAGCATGCTGTATGAACTGCTTCAGCCCACAAATTCTGAGCCAGATTCTGAGTGTTTATCATTGTGCGAGCCATTTCTTGTACATGCTTGTTCTTTCTCTCTGCAATTCCATTCTGTTGTGGGGTCTTTGGAGCAAAGAACTCATGCTGAATTCCTTCTTTGTTGTAGTACTCACTAAAGGGCTGACTTTCAAATTCCCCCCATGATCACTCTTTACACGAATGACCTTTTTAATCTTGAGTTGTTTCTCATTCTGCACTTTGTTGCACAATATGACAAAGGCCTCTAGTGCGTCATCTTTGTGTCTCAGGAAACTTACCCAGGAATACCTTGTGTAGTCATCCACCACTATTAGCACAAACCTCTTCCCTCCGATGCTTTCAATTTTCATTGGTCCAAAGAGATCAATGTGTATCAATTCCAATGGTCTTGTGGTAGATTGATATACCTTTTTAGGATGGCTTGCTCGTGTTTGTTTCCCTTTCTGACATGGACCACATACTTCACCTTCCAGTCTCTTTATCTTAGGCAATCCTCGAACTGCATCAGAGTTTGAGAGAGTTGTGAGATCTTTAAAATTTAGATGACCAAGTCTGTAGTGCCATAGCCTTGCATCCTGTTGGCTAGCAGGAAAGCACAGAACATTTGGAGTGACTTTGTAGCAGTTGTCAGTTGTTCTGTCACCTTCTAGTACCATCAGTTTGTTTTTGTCTTTCACACGACACTTTTGCTGAGTAAACGTGACCTCCAGCCCTTGGTCACATATCTGGCTGATGCTGAGTAGGTTCACCTGAAGTCCTTGTACAAGCCACACATTCTTGATCGGTGGAAGTCCTGAAACATTTAGTGTTCCGCACCCGACAATTTTGCCTTGTGCTCCACCACCAAATCTAACATTTCCTCCCTCAACTGAGTTGATATTGGTAAGATTCTGTCTGACACCAGTCATATAATGAGAACATCCACTGTCCAGTAACCACTGATCAGGAGTGACTCTGAGGCATGAATTTGCTACCATGACCCTTTCCTTTGGAACCCAAATCTGCTTGATCTTCTGAGTTCTTGTTCTTTTATTTTTGAGCCTCTGGCATGCCCTCTTGATATGCCCCCATCTTCTGCAGTAGTAACATCTGTAGTTTTGATAAGTCACTGAGTTTCTTCTATGATGTTTGAAATTGTGGCTCCTGATTGGTTTTACTGCTGGGTGATAGCTGCTTCTCATGTTTTTGTTCAACTTCACACTGTTTTCCTTGGGTAGATCAGTTGTTTTGGGGTGGCTATCACACCCAATCCCTTGTCTATCTCCAGGTGCTTTGAACATTATCTCCTGTGCATCCAGTACTTCAGCTCCAGCTATTTTCATCCACTTAATGTAGTCCTTGAGTTTTTGTAGTTCAAATTTCAGATTTTCATTATCTGTTTCTGCTTTCTCTAGATTCTGCTTCAGAACCTTTAGATCACAAGCCAGCTAATTCTTTTCTGCTATATTTCTTCTGTTAACCATGAGCAGTTCAGTCCACTTTTCTTGAAGATCCATGTGTTGCTCAACTAGGTCGTCTGACTCTGACTGTGAGATAAAAGCACAGTTGTTTTCCTCACAACCTTGATCTTCGTCAGTATCCTCATCACTCCAGGTTATTGAGAATGCTTGTCTCTTCTTTTTGAGGTTGTTTGCACATTTAGTCTGGATATGTCCATGACCACCACATTCAAAACACAGCGGCCCTTTGTACTTGGAGCTGTTATCATACGACTTTCCTTCTTTGAAGCGTGGTTCCCTGAAAGTGGATGCCTTAGAAGGTCCTTCTTGAATTTGATTCTTTCCCTTATTTTGAATCCACTTCTTTTTGAACTGCTTTGTGAATAGGGACAGCTGTTCTTGGAATTCTTCATCAAATGCTAAAGCATCTTCACTATCATTTTCCAGATCAGTCCCTAGAAAGGCAATTTGCTTCTCTGGTTTTCGTCTCTTGCTATCCTCTTTCATGTTTAATTCAATTGTTTCAAGATTACCCATTAAAGCATCAAGAGTCATCTTTTTTGCATCATGTGATTGAGAGATTGCCTTGACATCCATATCAAACCTTTCTGGTAGAGATCTCAGCACCTTTAGAACAAGTTTTGATTCTGGAAACGGCTCTTGTAATCTGGCTGCTTGATTTGCAAGGTCACGAACTCTTCCATGAAATTCTACAATAGTTTCTTTCTCATCCATTCGCAGATTTTCATATTGTGTCATAAGAATCTGATACTTTGCAGTTTTGACCTTTTCATCACCTTCATGTGTGACTTCAAGGATATCCCATGCTTCCTTTGCACTAATACAGTTTGAAATGAGGCGATATTGTGTGGCATCAACTGCACCAAAAATAGCATTCAGGGCTTTGTCATTATGCTCAGCAGCAAGGACTTCAGTTCTGCTATCGTCTTCAAATTTTTTGACAGTTGTTGTAGACAGATCATCTGAGTATTTTACTGGTTCTGTCTAGCCAGTTTCCACAGTTCTCCAGACTCCTCCTCCTTGTGATTTCAGGAATGCCCTCATACGTCCTTTCTAGAAGTAGTAGTTGTGACCACGCAGCAGGGGTGGCCTAGAAACACTGGCTCCTTCCTCCATGTCTCCCATAATTTGTGATCGTTGAAAGCTAATAACTTAAGCTCAACAAGCTTTGATACCAATTGAAATTCCAATACTCACAAGAAACTAATCACAACAGCAAACAGAAGCAAGCAAATAAAACTATTGGAATAAGTGTAGCAGCTCTAGAAACACAGGATGCTACAACACTTTTTCCAACAGTCACAAACACAGGCAGAAAATCAAACACACCAAGACACAGAAATTTGTTTACGCAGTTCGGAGCAGTATCTCCTACGTCTGCGAGGCCCACATCCGTGTAATAGCCTTTCCACTAGATCAACGTAAGAATTACACTATCAAACTTCAATAGAACCTTCTAATGAATCTGATTTGTCTACTTACGAGATCTGACAGCAAACTCAGTTTGTGTCTTCACCAGGCCTATTACACCTTCTTCTTGCTCTGCACGAAGGATGCGTTTCTGACCCTTGCTCAGCCCACCAGGTTGCAACAGCTGAACAATATCTAGAGAAGATCCATGACTGATCTTCTCATGCAATTCTCTCACAGGTTTGTTTTGATCAGAATGGTGGTGATCTCACGCTCTCTCCTTTGATATTCTTAGTATATTTCTGCGTACTTCTTTTCTCTACGGCTGACTCTCTTTATAGGGTGTGTCCATAGCCCTAGTAGAGATGATATGGAACTCTTACAGTGATAAGCTTGAGTACCAGACATACCTAGTACGCCATGACTTCTTCCCGTAAATACATCTTATGTCAAGCATGCGCTTAGGAGATAATTAAAAGATTTATGCCACTAAAATGAGTTCATGCATTTTAATACAACTACAATCATATCAGATAGACGCTATCAAATCAAATCTTAGTAAGATTAAACCATATCCAATTAGATGAGACGAAGAGAACATCCTCGTATGTCACAAAAATATTACTCCCCCTATTCACATTTAGTCTTCCTATTTGAATTTTCTTGGTCAAAGTTTGTAAACTTTAATCTTGATTTGTAGAAAAAATATATTATCTTTTGATATAAAATTAATATCAATAGTTCCCTTTTGAAACGTATTTTATAATTACTAACTTTTCATAAAATATGTATATGTATAGGTAGAAAATAATGGTTGAAGTGGTACATTTAAGACCGTAAAAAGTCTAATGAGAAGATTACATTCGAGTAAAGGGAGTTTTGAATATGGTACAACACAATATTTTTCCTTTCTTGTGCATTATTTTTCTCTACAATTTCCCAGTGAACAAGGAAAGGTGTTCTTGAATATCCACATCAGCTGATATATCTTTATCTCTGTCATCTTCTGTGTTCGGAACCTGAAGAGTACATTTACCCAGACAAGGAAAGGCCATGGAACAGATTGTGAACCTTAAGAAAAGGGCACTTAGACCATGATTCAGATAAGGGAAGTCATATCGAGTCTACCTCTATGGAGAACGACTCAGTACGGCATATGGATAAAATATAAATGGTTGAAAATAAGAGATGTCACTATTATTGTATAGTGATGGGTTACCTTAAGGATGTTGAATTACTCTTTGATATGAACTAATCTCTATTAAAGATACCCTCTTGATGAACAGATGAAACGATAATGTTTATGAGATCTATAAATATAAGATATTTGAAAATGTTAACCTTTGCTTTTAGTAAGTGCTTTCGGATACGTATGATTATACAAAGAGATGTTTTTAAACCTTATCATAAATGGCGAATGTTGGAATTCATAGTTAAATGTTTTATAACGAAGATAAAGAGGATTTTCTTAAATAAAAGGACCTAAGGGTTTTGATTTTTGTTGTGAATGTGATTGTGTGTTCTTCAATAATTTTATAAAATCTACGTTGTGGTTTCACTCAGCGGTTGTGCATAGGTATTAAAAGCTGTGGCACCAATCCGGAAGATGCTGAGGTAGGAATGTTGGCAGAAAGATGCAGGGACCGTTTTAATAATTTAAAGTATATTGGGAGTTGAGCCCATTCTTGTACATCTGTTGAATTATATTTAGCTTCCGCAATGTTAAATTAATTTACTTCGAAAACTATTTACCATTTTACGAGAAAAGAATATTTTTAAATGTTTTTTCTTTCTCAAAGTACTATTTATATTATTTTTAATCTCCAGTATGTTTACCAAATTGTTAGCGCTTCGGTCCGTTAACCCGAGTGTACCGAGTTACGCAGATTGTGGTGTTACAATGCCTTTATTTTATTTCTTTATTGGCCTTTCATTTCTTCGAAGAGAAATTATTCATTTTCCTTTTTGTGTAATTAAACAATAACTAAATTTGCAAGTTAATGTATTTGACAAATCTCCAGGTTCGTTTAATTTATTTTCTCTTTTCATGTTTTCACTATAAGTATGCCATAAAATGATACAATCTCTCGATCATCATATATATCTTACAATTACTGCTCCCTTAATTTCCAGATACCAAAGGAAATGGAAACATTGTTTGCTAAGTTGTTTTTCTTCATTGTCCTCTTACTTATTCCTAATGGTTTGTTACTTTCTTTTCCTTTGTTTTGCACAACAAACATTTGTTTTGTAAACTTATTGATGTGTAGGCATTGTAAGGGTGGTGCCATAATTTTTGTAAAAAGAAACTTTGGATCTCGTAAATATCAAAATTTGAATACTAGTTTTATAGAATCGAGGACAAATTTTGAATACTAGTTTTATATCAAAATTTTGAATAGAATCTAGGACAGATTTTATAGTTTTATTATTTGTTCAATGATAATAGAAAGTAATTATTTGAGTACAATTTGCAGGCTCTCGAACTGCCATTGAAATAGTAGAAGCACAACCACAATGCAAGGTGAATGAGGTTTGCAAACCCTACTGTGACTCCCAGCATATCCCTATTCCGATTTGTTTTGGTGGAAGTTGCCGATGCATTGATTTTTCGATACCACGCCCACAATCCTAAGCATGCAAGATATATCAATTGATAATGCTATTATAAAATCATTATACATAGATATGATACCTAAATGTTCACTAGATCAATGTTTAAAATTAATATGTATCCGTGGATTACGTAATAAAACAATAATATTCAAGTGATTATCACTAATTTTTTTGAATAAGTTATTACTATTATATTGAAGTTATAACTTTAAAATCTCAAAACCTAGTCGTGTCATGTTGGATTAGGATTCAAGTTAAACGCAAAAGTAGTGAATTTAGGGGTATTACGAGGTGGGTATATAATTACATTTGATTATGTGTAACAGTAGAAATCTATATCACTTTGCATGCATATATCAAGAAAGTTATTCTCGAACAATTATTGGTATATGTTTTAAATTCAATGAAAATATTAAATGTAATTAAAAGTTCAAAGTTTATACACTCAATACTTGAAGTCTCTCTACAAAATTCAAGGTCGTGATCGATCTTATAAAATATTAATGCCACTAAAATGAGTTCATGCATTTTAATACAACTTCAATCATATCAGATAGACGCGATCAAATCAAATCTTAGTAAGATTAAACCATATCCAATTAGATGAGACGAATAGAACCTCCTCGTATGTCACAAAAATATTACTTCCTCTATTCACATTTAGTCTTCCTATTTGAATTTTATTGGTCAAAGTTTGTAAACTTAAACCTTGTTTTGTGGAGGGAATATATTATGTTTTGATATAAAATTAATATCAATACTTCCCTTTTGAAACGTATTTTATAATTTCTAACTTTTCATAAAATATGTGTATGTATAGGTAGAAAATAATGGTTGAAGTGTTACATTTAAGACCGTGAAGAGTCAAATGAGAAGATTAAATTCGAGTAAAGGGAGTTTTGAATATGGTACAACACAATATTTTTCCTTTCTTGTGCATTATTTGCCTCTACAATTTCCCAGTGAACAAGGAAAGGTGTTCTTGAATATCCACATCAGCTGATATATCTTTATCTCTGTCGGCCATCTTCTGTGTCCGGAACCAGAAGAGTACATTTACCCAGACCAGGAAAGGCCATGGAACAGATTGTGAACCTGAAGAAAAGGGCACTTGGACCATGATTCAGATAAAGGAAGTCATATCGAGTCTACCTCTATGGAGAACGACTCAGTACGGCATATGGATAAAATATAAATGGTTGAAAACAAGAGATGTCACTATTATTGTATAGTGATGGGTTACCTTAAGGATGTTTAATTACTCTTTGATATGAATTAATCTCTATTAAAGATACCATCTTGATGAATAGATGAAACGATAATGTTTATCAGATCTATAAATAAAAGATATTTGAAAATGTTAACCTTTGCTTTTAATAAGTGCTTTCGGATACGTATGATTATACAAAGAGATGTTTTTACACCTTATCATAAATGGCGAATGTTGGAATTCATAGTTAAATGTTTTATAACGAAGATAAAGAGGAATTTCTTAAATAAAAGGACCTAAGGGTTGTGATTTTCGTTGTGAATTTGATTGTGTGTTCTTCAATAATTTTATAAAATCTACGTTGTTGTTTCACTCAGCGGTTGTGCATATATAAGTATTAAAAGATGTGGCACCAATCCGGAAGATGCGGAGGCAGGAGTGTTGGCAGAAAGATGCAGGGACCGTTTTAATAATTTAAAGTATATTGGGAGTTGAGCCCATTCTTGTACATCTGTTGAATTATATTTAGCTTCTGCAATGTTAAATTAATTTACTTCGAAAACTATTTACCATTTTACGAGAAAAGAATATTTTTAAATGTTTTTTCTTTCTCAAACTACTTTTTATATTATTTTTAATCTCCAATATGTTTACCAAATTGTTAGCGCTTCGGTCCGTTAACCCGAGTGTACCGAGTTACGCCGATTGTGGTGTTACAATGCCTTTATTTTATTTCTTTTTGGCCTTTCATTTCTTCGAAGAGAAATTATTCATTTTCCTTTTTGTGTATTTAAATAATAACTAAATTTGCATGTTAATGTATTTGACAAATCTCCAGGTTCGTTTAATTTATTTTCTCTTTTCATGTTTTCACTATAAGTATGCCATAAAATGATACAATCTCTCGATCATCATATATATCTTACAATTACTGCTCCCTTAATTTCCAGATACCAAAGGAAATGGAAACATTGTCTGCTAAGTTGTTTTTCTTCATTGTTGTCTTACTTAGTCCTAATGGTTTGTTACTTTCTTTTCCTTTGTTTTGCACAACAAACATTTGTTTTGTAAACTTATTGATGTGTAGGCATTGTAAGCGTGGTGCCATAATTTTTGTAAAAAGAAACTTTGGATATCGTAAATATCAAAATTTTGAATACTATAAATAGATAGAATCTAGGACAGATTTTATAGTTTTATTATTTGTTCAATGATAAAAGTAATTATTTGAGTACAATTTGCAGGCTTTCAAACTGCCGTTGAAATAGTAGAAGCACAACCACAATGCAAGGTGAATGAGGATTGCAAACCCTACTGTGACTCCCAGCATATCCCTATTCCAATTTGTTTTGGTGGAAGTTGTCGATGCATTGATTTTTCGATACCACCCCCACAATCCTAAGCATGCAAGATATATCAATTGATAATGCTATTATAAAATCATTATACATAGAGATGATACCTAAATGTTCACTATATCAATGTTTAAAATTAATATGTATCCGTGGATTACGTAATAAAACAATAATATTCAAGTGATTATCACTAATTTTTTTTGAATAAGTTATTACTATTATATTGAAGTTATAACTTTAAAATCTCAAAAAGAAGTCGTGTCATGTTGGATTAGGATTCAAGTTAAAAGCAATAGTAGTGAATTCAGTGGTATAACGAGGTGGGTATATGATTACATTTG